CAAGAAAGGATCGAGAGGCGGTTGTGCAAACAGAACAAGGGAACACTGCATGATTTAAAATAAGGAAAGGTGTGCATCTGCTCACCATACATATTCAGTCTGAGCAAATAATCAGAGAAGCTAGATGATATGAAGAAGAATTCAGCAGCAGGATTGGAGGAAGCAATATTAACAACCAGCAGTATGCTGATGACACCCACCTTGCTTGCTGAAAATGAGGAAGGCCTGAAACACCTGCTGATGAATACCAAGCCTTCAGTGTGGATCACAAGTCAATGTACAGAAAATCAAAATCCTTACAACTGGACCAGTATGTATTTCCATGATCGATGGAGAAGAGGTTGAGGTCGGCAAGGATTTCTTCTTGCGTGGATTAACAGTCAGTGCTCACAAAAGCAGCAGTTAAGAGATCAAACAACATGTTGCTTCAGGTAAATCTGCTGCACAAGATTTCTTTGACGTGTTGAAAGGCAAGAATGCTTTGAGGACTGATGTGCTCCCACCCCAAGCCATGGTGTTTTCAATCAACTCATATGCATGTGAAAACTGAACATCGAATACAGAAGACCAGGGAGTAGATGCATTTAAATTACAATGTAATGCTATGATGCGACGTAAATAACTCTTTAGCTCCCTCTTAGCCTTCAGGAGATCGTTTTTGACCTCTTATTTCTCCACCACCCTCCCTTAAATAATTTTCACGTGTGGTGGCTTAAATCTCTGAATTCAGAGCCTGTGGATACTGAGGGCTGACTGTATCTACAACATTTTATGATCTTGCATATGAAAGAGGCTTTAGTTGAGCAAGAATTGAAAAATCAAAACTCTACATGGTTTGGGTGCATGTGGTGAGTTGTCAAGAGAAGGAAAGGGGGCCATGTGACTGTGTCAACTCTAGAGCACAAAGCCATAAGAGAATATGTGGGAATAACCGGAGTGGATAAAAAGAGGGCTGGTTGGCTGGGAAAGAAGAGAACACACTTAGAAAAACTCTACAAATGAAACCAAAAAGAACTGAGATTTGAATGACGAGGTCAAAAATCCAGAAAGCAGATCAGACTGGGGAACCTCACATTCTCACTTCCCCCAAATGTCTGAGATTCCAAAGCTACTGTGGGAAGCCCTGAGGTATAGCTGTGAAGAAGGTGTGGCGAGGGAGGGCTTCGGCTCTGGCTATGCCCTACTAGGGACTAGAGAATGAAATGGGTGCTGGGGCTGGATCAGAGATGGTGAGACTGAGAGAGCCTGATGGGTAGGGCCATGTCTAGCAACTACAGTGACCCCCTCCTTCTGGTCTCCTGGAATCCCAGAGTTGGCTAGGCAACAAGCAGCTGCTAATAAAATAATTATAATAGTAATAATGAGTATAGTTGAGGTTCACGGACAACTAGTCACCCCAAAGACTGTCTCGTCAACCCCAAAGGCACGGTTGGCCGTTAGGACTGCTCTAGTTTTCTTCTGTGGATAATGCTTGGAAAGTGAAATAAACCTATTTTAGACTACTTCCAGCTTCTTGACAAGTCGGAGTTATATGTTGGGATGGATTCGGGGCTAAGCTCATTCTGGTTGGCCTGGATCAATATGGGTTCTTAGAATTGTGAGTCCACATCTCAGAAAATGCCTCGGCACAATCTACAGCACAATCTGACCTTCCTAACTCTAACCTGTGTGACCCGAGTGATGTAACACAATAGTTTCCTTCTCTAAAGTGACATCAGCACAGTTTTTAAAAAGGGAAAGGAAAAAAAAACAAAACTTCATTTCCTGAGACCTCCTGAAACCCCTACCCTGGAAGCTGGCTTCTCTGCCCCTTCCCGATCAGAGGGACTGTGCTCAGAAATGCTAGGGAACAATTTGCACTGGATTCTTCAGCCCTCTATTCATCCCCTCTCCTCAGACCATCTCCTCCCACTCCATCCTCAGACGCAGCTACCATCTTCAGCCGGGAACACCAAATCCACCAGGGGCCTCGGGCCATGTCACTTGCTCTTCCCTCTGCCTAACCGTGGCCAGCAAGTTAGTGGGATCTCAGGGCCCCTGTCACATTTTCAAAGAGAAGAACTAACCTGAGGGGGGTGATGTGGTCTGACACAGCAACTCACAGGAAAGAGGAACCCAAGATGAACTGTGGCTCCCTGACGTCAGAAGACAGGTGATCTGCATCTTTTACATTTCAGAAGAAATGCTTACTGGTGAGCCAACTTGGGAATTTGGGGTTCAGAGCTAGAATGACTCACCTTTGGAGGGGAAAACGGATGAATAGTCTAGTAGAAAGGGCCATGTGTGATGCTCTTCCAGAAGTAACTTTGTTCAGAACACACATTTGTTTGGAAAACCTGGCTTGTTCAGAAACCCCATCTACAGTCATGGATTCTGACTCACAGATTTATTTAGTACACCTTGAGAAAGGTTACAAATCCTCTTTTCCCCCCCCAGTTATTAGGGACTGCTCCAAAATATCAAGGACGATTCAAAAGAAATGTCAAAATTGCTATTAAGTTCTGTTTTGGCCTGTGTCATGGATTACATTGTGTCCCCTCCAAATTGTGTGTCCACTTGGCTCAATCTGTTTGGATGGCTGACAGCACCTCCCTCATTTTTTCCTTCACCTCTTCTACGTCGTCAAATCACTGTTCTTTCATGTCCCTCTTCATTCATTTCATTCACAGAAACAAAAAGAAGTCGCACAGAGTGAGGTCAGGTGAGCAAGGTGCATGGGTCAAGAGAGGCATGCTGCCATGCGGCTGCATCGTGAGCAGGTGCATTGTCGTGGTGGCAGAACCAGCCCCCCATCTGCCACAAATCAGGCCTTTTTTGTTGCACACTGTTACTCAATCTTTTCAGAACCTCTAAATGGAAAGCTTGATTAACAGTCTGTCCTGGTAGAATGAACTCCAAATGCACTACGAGTTGACATTTCTATCCGTCTGGAAGTTGACAGACGTCCAGAACAAGGTTTGTCATCAATTGACATTTCTCCTTTTTTGAAACTAGAAAACCACTCATACACTCGAGTTTCCCGATAGCACTGTCCTCTAAGCTGTGTTCAACATAACAGTGTCTGTGGCCATCTTTCCTGAGCAGGAAACAAAATTTCATAGACATGTGTTGTTCTCTTAAATCAGCCATCACAAAAAACGAGGGTGAGTGAAACTGCTTTCACGAAAAAATTCACCGGGCCCAGAGAGGACCTTCCCAGGCAACCCCACTGTGGGCGCACGAACTCAGAGCGAGTAGCTGGATGCTCACCTTGCAGGAAAATGTCATACGACAAAAGCTCCTCTGCCCAGTGGAACTCTTTCCCTGTTTTTGGTGGGGAGTGGTGGGGGTGGTTTTCCCTCTATCATGCCAGAACAATGAACAAGTCTGCTGAGAAACTCTTTGGAAGTGAGAATGGTGAGACTTCATCCCAGGTACACTGGACATGTTATCAAGGCAGACCAATCCCTGGAGAAGAATATCATGCTTTGTAGAGGCTCGGCAAAAATGAGGAAGACCTGAGTCAGGTGGACTGAAATGACAGTTGCAACGATGCCCTCAAACCTAGCCATGTCTGTGCAGATCATGGAGTCCCTGTATATCAGAGTCAGCTTGACTGCAGCCAACAACAGCAACCAATAACCAAGGCAAAGGAAAGTCGTCTTTGTGGCTTTTGTAACTGAATGCTCTGGGAAATTTCCCAAGACACCCAAGGAAAGATGACTAGTAACATTTCAAAAGACTGAAATATTTGAGCCTGGAAACTTCCCCCTGTCTCTCCCCACCCCTGAGCTCAGTCGGACTGACTGACTGACCCCGGCTGTTGCAAGATTGCAGCATTGACCTTTGCCGGTTTGATTTCCCACTCCTCTCCCTCCCTCCTCAAAGCCCTTTGGCCTCCTTGCCTCCCCTTGTCCCCTACTTTGCTAACGCTGGCCTATCTATAACCAGAGCTAAATCAGAAACCCCTGGAGGTGATTCTGTCCGAATCCTACAAAACTGCATGCTCCCAAGAAAACTCTCTCCACTCTGGACTTCGCCATCCATCGCCCTAGGTCTCCCTAAACGTCTTCCATGATAACATGAAGCTGGCAGAACAGCATAGCATCTCCAGATTCAGAGAAGTGGCAAATAACTATGGAGAACATGAAATATTTGACCTTCTAGACAAGCAGACAAACTTGACCCCTCCACCCCATCCACCTTCCCCAACCCTCCAACTTCTTAAGCAACCTGGATTGTAAGAGGGCGACACAGACACGATGGCTGTATACCTACGTATACATATTGTACATATACAAAGACCTGCAGGCATAGAGACTATATCACACCCCCATTCAGACTCCCACGCTGCGCATAAAAGGAAAGGACACCCTCAATGAACAGTGACCCATCAAGTGACCCTAGCAATCCAAGCACCTCTTCAGGCAGGAAGCGAATAATACAAGCTCCCGTTGCATGATGTAACTCCTGGAAGACCTGTTCTATTCTGGTCCTTAGCCAGGGCCACCTCCCCTTCTGGCTTCTATCCCTGCCCGTCCCCACGCTCGTAGAAACGTTCCGAACAAAAATATAAGGTCTTTCGGTGAGGTGGAACCCCCAGATTCTCTTACTGGGGGTCCTTCTCGGGACCCCTGTGCACCCAGGGAAGCCACGGAGAAAAACTCTTCAGAATGCAGGCAGATGCCTCCTTGGGCATCAAGTCCAGCGCTCCCCCAGCGCCCGCTGGCCGGTGGACCTCCACCGAGGGTGGCCTCGCGACAACCCCCCTAGAAGCCCCTCCTCCCCCGCCCCCCTGTCCACGCGGCGTGCACGCCCCTGACCTCCTCGCTCTGCGCCCCTCCCCCGCCGTGCACGCCTCCCTTTTTTGGCTCGCCCGGCGGCGGGCTGGCCCCGGAGCCAAGGAGGCGTGTGTCTCGGAGAGGAAATATAAGCGGCCTCGGGCGCAGACCAGGCGTCAGCCGCCGCGTCTCCGCCTGGACGGGCTGCGGCTGCCGGGAGCAGAGAGCACGCGGGCCGGGCCGAACCCGGACCGAACGGACGGACGCCCTGACCGCCGCCTCCAGCGCGCGCCGCACCGCCCAGGTGAGCCCCGCCGGGTCCCGGGGCCGGGGGCCTGTCCGGGCTCGGCTCCCCTCTGCCCGGAGAGTGGAGGCAGGGGTGCTGGGTGGCGCTTCATGCCCCCGGCCCTGTTCCGCTTCCCCTGCAGGTCCCGCCCGCCCCAGAGCAGCCATGGAAACGGTGCAGGAGCTGATTCCTCTGGCCAAGGAGATGCTGGCGCACAAGTCCAAGGGGAAGCTGGTGAAACTGTACGTGCTGGGCAGCGTGCTGGCCTTCTTCGGCGTGGTGCTCGGCCTCGTGGAGACCGTGTGCGGCCCCCTGACGGCCGCCAGCCGCCCGCGGGAAGAAGAGGCCGCCGTGGCCTCGCTGCAGGCCGCCCGGGACCGGCAGGCCCTCCAGACCCAGACCCGGGCCGGGCAGGACGAGGGCAAGCAGCCCGCGGCTTTGCAGGGCAGCCGGGGCCTCTCCCACCGGCAGCACGCCTCCTAGGCACGGTGGGAGCCCACGGAGGGAGCGAGGCGAGCCAGAGGAACCGCGGTCCAGCCTTGCGCTGTTTGGGCTTCCTTCGGACCAGCCGCGGCCAGCCGGGACTGATGCCACCAGAAGGAGGTCCAGATTGAGTTTGCTGCTGTGCAGCAGTGCCCAGGACTACCCCCTCCAGAACCCTGTGACTGAGATACCTGAGCGCATCCACAGTTTTCACTGGGGAACAAGAAGGGGAATGCTTTTTATATTGTTGTTGTTGTTGTTATGATTATTATGATGATGACCACCGTTTTGCATTTTGAAAGCATTAAACAAAAAAAAAGTTTTCTTCTATAGCTCAGCATCAATTAATTCCTGAGGCGGGGGATGGTCGTACTGGCGTCAAAAGTTTTGTACGGCAGCACCGAGCAGTTTCTGGAGAGCCAGACACTCCCTTACTCCTAAAGCCTCTGTTGAGGACCAGTTCCCACTTCATGCCGGTATGAGAGGAGCCCACGGGGTCGATCGAGCATTGTAAGATCAGGAGGTAATCCACACCCTGGAATATGGAGAGAAGTACTGGCTCATGCTCAGACAGAAAAGCTATTTGCTCCCTCACACCTGTCTACCAGATGCTCCCACCCTTTTCTTAACTGTATTTTAGCACATGTACACACACACACATCAGGGAGGGGGTAAGAAAGCAAACTACCAAACACGAACACCTTATTGGACAACACCTGGCTTTGACTTCAAATCCTGTTATGAAGGAGAAAAGACTATCATAGACCTGAATTCTCCTCATCGAAGGAAAGAGCTTGCTCTGGAATGAATAACTAATTTAGTGAGTCTAGGTCTCAGTGAGCAGCCTGGGTGGCAGAGTGGGTTAAGCAGTGGGCTACTGAGCCCAAAGTCAACAGTTCAAATCCATCAGCCACTCCACAGGAGAAAGACGGGGCTTTCCACCCCCATAATCAATGACAATCTCAAAAACCCACAAGGGCAATTCTCCCCTGTCCCAAGGGTTTACTACGAACCGGTATCCACTTGATAGCAGTAAGTTTCAAGTGTGAACCCGCTGGCAGCTCCCCAGGAGATAAATGAGGCAGCTTGTTTCCTTAAGGATTTAATAGCCTCAAAACCCTATCAAACATTTCTTCTCTGTCCTATAGCATCACTGGAATTCAGAATCAACTAGACTCCAGTGGATTTGGTTTGGGGGTAGGGCTCAGTAAGGGTTATCCTAAGCCATTACTCTTCACGGGGCAGTTGCGGGCAGAGCTGGATGCCACCTTCCTCTTGTTTTTCATGCTACCTATCATAACTAGGAATGGACACTGGACTATGCATTTTCCCCACACTTACCATGCCTGACACCATTGTGCCTTATCAGACCTTCTCCACAATATCACACATACACGTGCACACACAACCATTTCTGCCCCCTCAAGTCCTACCCAGTGCTCTTGACCCTGATCAAGCTCTCCTTACAGTCGATCATCATTGCCCCAAACAAAAGTGCCATTAGAAAGGAGGAAGATTGCTGAAGGAAAGAGATATATCTAGAGTTTTGAAGGAAGTGGAAAATGACAATGGCACCACTGTGTCCCCAGATTCCAAAATGGGGAACTTGGCTATAAGTTAAGGAACAGCCCCACTTCGAGCACCGAACTTTTTTCCTAGGAATCCAGCCCATCTTTTTCTCCCAGTTGGTCTTCCGGACAAACTTTCCTATTTAATGATTACTCCTCCACCTCATAGTGGTCACCTTTGTCCCTGTCTCCACTGCCCCCGCCCCTCCTCCGACACCTGGCACATTAACCCCAAGCTGATGCATGGCCACACAGATCTTCCTTCACCGCCTTTCATCCTGTGCTCCCCCTTCAAAGGTCATCGGAGACTAAACCCTAGTGCCGGGTTTCCAGTGTTTCTGTGGATCTGCTTCTATCCCAGCACTCTTACCTGACTTCTCCTAGTGCCCAATAGGGGTCCCAGGACCCTCCTATACCTCCTGCTTTTGCGGCCTTTTGCACCTTTTTTCACACCACCCTTCCCACCTGGCATGTCCTCCCCCCCAAGAGCCCCACATCCTCTGAAACCATATCCTTCAAGTTCTCCAAGATTTTGAATTTTCCATCTGTTTTCAGACTATCAGATCATGTGCTTTTATTTTTTATCCAGAAGTTCTGAACCTCACCCCATGCTTATACATGTTTAAACTAGGTAACTATCAAATCTGAGCTTATGAAATCTATATCTTTGCTGATCTCTCTCTCTCCTTTTTTTGTTTGAAACGAGCTGTGTGTTACAGAAGAATTGAATTTTGGTTGCAGTTTTACTTTTTCCCCTTTTATGACCACTCAGATGAGTGTTTAGGTTTGACAGGTAAGGAATCTTGTATTAGGCTGTGTTGACTAGAGAAACAAATCCAGTGACACATATGTGTAAGCAAGAGCTTTAAATCAAGAAGTAATTGTATATCAGGAAAACATCCCAGCCCAATCCAGCTCAAGCCCATAAGTCCAATGATAGTCCATAAATCAGATACTAATCCATAAGTCCCTCTTCAGACTCATGCAGTCACATGCAATGAGGCAGCTGCAGGAAGGTCACAGGCTGGTGGGTGCAGACTTGTGTAGATCCAATGGCGATGGCCACATCACAGGACTCACCTGGTCTCAGCATGGCTCTTCAACAGGAAGGCGAAGGCGGAGAGAGAGCGAGGTTCCCAGGACCCTCTTTATGAGAAGGTCACACCCACAAGGAGGTACCATCAGTCTGTGACCTGATTGACAGGCTAGACTCCACCCCTACACTTGTATATATCAAGTTGACATGAAATCATGTAATCACCACAGATTTAGAGAGTTTTTAAGGCGGTGATCCTTCTCTCTTTTAAAAACAATAATCTTTCTCCTTTTATTTGTGAAATATAACACATACAAAGAAAAAATACTCTGTATAGTTACATAGTCCATCTCATCAAAGCATGACAGTATAGAAGTAACACACTCTTCTTCTCTTCTCCTCCTCCTCCCCCACTTTCTTGTTTTTATCTTCTCCTTCACCTCCTCCTTCTTCTAACTTTTTCCACCTACTCTCCCTCCGCTTCCTCTCGTGATCCTCTTGTTTTCATGAATTCCTATAGGTTATTCAGTCTGGGTCTCATATTGTATCACTCGATAATGGGCTGTAATGAAATGTTTCGAAGTTGATTCATAGGGGCTGCTCACATCTCTCATAATTGAATCTTCTTGTGGTCAAGGGCAATGTCTCCCTCTTCAGTTTTTCATAGAAAATTTCAAGTCCTAGGCAAAAGATAGGTGCATAATAAATGTTTGATTGCTTAATTTATGAAGTGGGCACCAAGGCTCTCAACCAAGTATCAGAGCAATTTTTTTTTCCCTCCAGGGCACATTTGAAAATGTCTAGAGACACTTCTGGTGTCTAGTACTATAGTGTCTAGTGGGTAGAGATTAGGAATGAAGCCCCCTAGCTCACAAAAGGAATTACTCAATCCAAAAGGTCAACAGAGCTAAGATTGAGAATCCTTGGGTTAGAGAAAAGTATAGAGGAAACGGTTTACTTAATCGTTTCATGATCAAGGTTTTGGGGAAGTCTTGCAATATGGACCCATCTGATTATAATCAAGCAGGATAAATGCCTCTTTCAATTTAAAGACAAAAATTGTCTTTGGTCCAATCCTTTTGGATAATCTTTCATTTTATTAGCAACCCAGGGAAAGTGACAGAGGATATATTTATCAATTCTGTTGGTGACACAAAGCAGAGTGAGGATTCAGAATGACTCAACAGGTGGTTGTAACCAAGCTCTAAAACTAACTAAATGAAACAAAAAAAGAAGATGCAGTACAAAACATAGGTCTAAAAAATCTACAGCATGACCACAGAACCAGAGAAGTCTACTCTAGCAGCTCTCATTGCCACTGAGTCGATTTAACCACATAGTGACCCTAAAGGACAGGGTAAAACTGCCCTGTAGATTTCTGAGACTGTGGCTCTACAGAAGTAGACAGGCTCCCCTTTCCCTTGCAGCCAACATGTAACCCACAACGCCACCACCAATCATGTAAAACAGATGTAGGGATTTTCACTGATTATAACATAAGCCAACAGGGGTTTGGGACCGGACTGCTAAAACAGCCTAATGCCTCATTAATAGAAGCAGAATGCTCATAGGAGGAGATGATTTCATCGTACTCTGCAATTCATCAAGTGGGAAAGCATAAACATTAAACTAGATTACCTGGATTTGCTGAGGTTCACATTTCTATTAAACTCTCTGCCCAAGGTCCCTCATCTGTAAAATGACACTTGCTTCATGGAATAATTTTGCAGACTAAATGAAGTATTATACATAAAGTGACTAGAGCAGTGCCTGGTATACAGGAAATTTTCAGTCAATCTACCACTATTAATATCACAGCACACATTATCCAGCACCCATATGTATTTCAAATACCGGCAATGTCACCCTGGTGGACAGTTTCATCAGAGCTTCCAGACTACAACTGTCTGGGAAGAAAGATCTGTCTGTGTACTTCCAAAACTTAGTCAATAAAAACTATGTATCAGAGCCAAAGACCGTCCAATTCACTTGCTTTGGACACATCAAAATCAATCGCTGGAGGAGGACAGTATGAACCATCTGCCCAATACAGTATACACTGAAAAGGAGATGCCTAAATTTGGAGGTGGTTAGTCTGAGGTCCTATACAACTATAAGAAGACAGGACTCTAAGGCAACCACAAAACAATGAGCAAATCCCCCACTCCAGCCGCTTCTCTAGAACACCCCACTTCTCCGTGCTTCCAATGTTCTATTTCTGAACACTCTGACAAGCATTTCCCTTTCTCCTCAGTAGCTCTTAAATATAATGATTTATTTTTTAAAATAAACTAGTTCCTAATGATATGCACCTAACTAACAATAGAATTACTATTCAAATTTATGCACCAACCGCCAAAGCTAGTGATGAATATCTTGAATAATTCTACCAAGGTCTTCGGTCTGAAATCAATCAAATATGCACTCAGGATGAATTGATAATTATTGAAGACTGGAATGCAAATATTGGAAATAGCAAAGCAAGAATAGTACTTGTATAATATAGTCTTGGTGATATAAAGCTGGAGATGGCATGATAGAGTTTTGCAAGACTAATGACTTGTTCATAGCAAATCCCCTTTTTTTAATAATGAAAAAGGTGACTACACATGTGAACTTCTCCAGATGGAGCACAACCCATTATCACCATCAAGGCTCCTGGTGACCATTAACCAGGGATGAAATTAGTCTTGCCCTGGGGCAGAGTACATTGGAAAGTGGATTATCT